CCCCCCCCAGGGCTGCAGACGCTGCACCTGCTGACGCTGCAGAACCGCTACGAGCTGCGCGTGGAGCTCGAGGACTTCGAGAACAACTCGGCCGTGGCCACCTACGGCACCTTCGCCCTGTCGCCCTCGGCCGTCAGCGCAGAGGAGGACGGTTACACCCTCCACGTCGGAGGCTTCGTCGACGGCGGCGCCGGTAAAGGGGGAGGTCGACGGGGTCGACGGGGGTCAATGGGGTCAATGGGCGTCAATGGGGGTCAACGGGGGTCAAGGGTGACCACTTGAAGGTCAATGGGGTCAATGGGGGTCAACCAGGTCGAGGGTGACCACTTGGAGGTCAATGGGGTCAATGGGGGTCAATGGGGGTCAACGGGGGTCAAGGGTGACCACTGGGAGGTCAATGGGGTCAATGGAGGTCAATGGGGGTCAACCAGGTCAAGGGTGACCACTTGGAGGTCAATGGGGTCAGTGGGGGTCAACGGGGGTCAACTGGGTCAAGGGTGACCATTGGGAGGTCAATGGGGGTCAACCAGGTCAAGGGTGGCCACTGGGAGGTCAATGGGGGTCAACGGAGGTCAACGGGGGTCAACCGGGTCAAGGGTGACCATCGGGAGGTCAGTGGGGTCAATGGGGGTCAACCAAGCCAAGGTCAACCAGGGGATGGTCAATGGGGTCAATGGGGGTCAACAGGGGTCAACCAGGTCAAGGGGATCAACGAGGGGTCAACCAAGCCAAGGTCAATCATCGGGTGGTCAACGGGGTCAATGGGGCGTCAACCAGGTCAACATCACCCATGGGGAGGTCAAGGGGGTCAATGAAGTCAAGGTCAACCACAGGGTGGTCAAGGGCATCAATGGGGGGGTCAACCAAGCCAAGGTCAACCATTAGGAGATCAAGGAGGTCAGTGGGGTCAACCAGGTCATGGGGGTCAACGAGGGGGTCAACCAAGCCAAGGTCGACCACGGGGTGGTCAATGGGGTCAACCTGGTCAATGGGGTCAAGGAGGGGATCAACCAAGGTCAACCATAGGGTGGTCAACCAGGTCAAGTTCAACCATGGGGTGGTCAACGGGGGTCAACCAAGCCAAGGTCAACCACGGGATGGTCAAGGGGGTCAATGGGGGGTCAACCAGGTCAACATCAACCATGGGGAGGTCCACCAGGTCAACGGGGTCATCGTGGGGGTCAACCAGGTCAACGGGGTCAACGAGGGGGTCAACCAAGCCAAAGTCAACTAACAGAGGGTCAATGGGGTCAGCCAAGACAATGTCAACCATGGGGTGGTCAATGGGGTCAATGGGGGGGTCACGTCAACCATGGGGTGGCCAATGGGGTCCACCAAGCCAAGGTCAACCATAGGGTGGTCAACCAGGTCAAGGGGGTCAATGGGGAGGTCAACCAAGCCGAGGTCCTCCAAGGCGAGGTCGACCCTCCCCAGGCGACTCGCTGAGCTACCACAACGGGCAGAAGTTCTCGACGTTCGACCGCGACCAGGTCAACGTCAACCATGGGGTGGTCAATGGGGGTCAACCATGGGGTGGTCAAGGGGGTCAATGTGGGGGTCAACCAAGCCAAGATCAACCATAGAGTGGTCGAGGAGGTCAACAAGGGTCAACCAAGCCAAGGTCAACCATAGGGTGGCCAATGGGGTCAATGGGGGTCAACCAGGTCAATGGGGTCAATGGGGGGGTCAACCAAGGGGTGGTCAATGGGGTCAACAAAGTCAAGGCCAACCATGGGGTGGTCAACAGGGTCAAGAGGGGGGTCGACCAAACTGGGGCCAACCAAGCTGGGGTCAACCAAGCCAAGGTCAACCACGAGGTGACCAAGGAGGTCAATGGGGGGGTTCCACCCCGCAGGCGACTCGCTGAGCTACCACAACGGGCAGAAGTTCTCGACGTTCGACCGCGACCAGGACCTGTTCTCCCAGAACTGCGCCGCGCTGTCGTCGGGCGCGTGGTGGTTCCGCTCCTGCCACTTCTCCAACCTCAACGGCTTCTACCTGGCCGGGCCCCACCTCTCCTACGCCAACGGCATCAACTGGGCCCAGTGGAAGGGCTTCTACTACTCCCTCAAGAGGAGCGAGATGAAGATCCGACGCCTCTGAGGGGGACACGCCCACCCGCCGGACCCCCGGCCACGCCCCCCCAGCCCCAAGCCCCGCCCACTTATCTCATCAATAAAGACCCAGCGCTGATCAATTAAACAGGGTGGTGGGGGAGGGGTTGGGGGGGAGGGGTGATGTGGGGGCTGGGGGGGCGTTTGGTCCCTCCCACGTCGTTAATTAGGGTGGTTAACGAGGTGGTTAATTTGGGGGGGGGGGGGGGGGGGGGGGGAACAT